TTGGACTACCTACCTGAGCCAGCGTGGTGTAGTGGTTTGAGTGTTTAGGAGACTAGAGTCCAAATTCCCACTTGGCTAAGAAAACCTATTGGGTGACCCTGGGCAAGTCACACTCTTTCAGCCCTAGAGGAGGACAATGACAAACCTCCTATAAATAAATAAATCTTGCCAAGAAAACCCCATAAGGTTGGGAGAAAGGTTGGCTATAAGATGATGATGATGATGATGTCAGGAACCCAGAGGCTAAGAGAGTATGGCTTGCCCAGGGTCACCCACGGAGTTTCATGGCTGAGTGGGGAATTGAACTATGATCTTCAGAGTCATAGGTCAACATTCAAACCATTATGCCATGCAGGCTCTCAGAGGTGATATGTTAGCAATCTTTAAATGTCTGAAGGGCTGTCAAAGAAGGAGTGAACTTGATTTCTGCCAATGGTTTAGTTTACAAGAAAGAAGACATTAGGAAGAACTTCCTGGTGGTAAAAGCTGTTCAACACTCTTTCAGAAGGTGGCAGACCTTCCTTCACTAGGGTTTTTAAACTGAGAAACCTATCAAGGATGCCTGAGCTGTGGGGCTAGACTAGATGACTGATGGGTTCCATTCTAGCTCTACACTTCTGTGATTCTGTGGGTAGTATAAGATGACCTCTGTTTCAAAGCATCAATGATCTAATATGAAGCATAGCATACAGTTACCACTTAGATGGTCTAGGGGGAGAAACCAGCACAAAGCTGGACTAAGTAGTATCTAGGAGGAAGGGCAAAAAAAGATCTGCATCAGCTTTCTCCCATCTGGTGTCCTCCAGTGTCTGAGGATGATAGGAAGTTTAGTCCAACACTTGTGGAAGACAGCAGGCTGGGAAGGCTGATGTGAAACAAGAGAGTAGGCTTTCAGAGCAGCTGGTCATTGCTTGGCTTTGCAGTACCATGGAGAGCTCCCAAAGATTGCCTCCATTGCTCCCATGGCATCCAAGAACAGAAGGTGCTCTTTCCTAACACAACAACCTTCAGACTGAGTGACCTGCAACTTGCATCATCTCAACAGAATGACTGAGTGTTTGGAGATGCTGGGAGTTGTGGTAGACCCTGTAGATAGTGCTGGGATGAAGGAAGTGAGCCAAGGAAGTTCATAATGTGCGTTAATGAATATGCGCAGTATTGGCTATATTCCCATTTCTGGATCTAAACCGGTAGTCATCTCAGTGAAAACCAAGGCACAGGGGAAAGGGGTTTAACCCTCCCAAATCCATATTTCCCTTTCTCAAAGCTGCTATTTGGCTCTAGAGGGGCTGTTTGCAAATAGCATTTCAAGGGTCAAACAAAAGCTCTGAAGACAAGTGCAAAGTGGAAGGAAATTGGCATTGTAAAAGGATTAATGGTTTCCTGTTTTGTAAACTAAACAGAGAGCACATTCACTGCCCTCCTCTTGCCATATGAGTGCTTTTTGGTTAATGAAAAAAGATAGTGGTGGCAGATGGCAATCATGCAGTATGGCAGTAAATTCTCTCCAGTTTGGGTCTCCTTCGGAGATACTAGAAGGGCTGGAGTGTGTTGGGAGAGGTCTGGCATACCTGCAATTCAGGGCTTTATCAAACCAGCCTACTGTCCCACCTCAACTGCGCTAGTTTAAGCATGGAAGCATACTGGTTTAGTACCATTTCTTACCCATGATAGTGCTTTGGCAATCCATGGTTGTGTGATCAGTTGTTGTTGTTGTTTTTGGTACTGCCAAACACTATCTTTCAGGGAGAAAGGTGGGAACAAACAAACATAGCTGCCAACTGCCTCCTGAAGTCAGCTGCTGTGTGAATGTGAATGTGAATGTGAAGGTATTGGTGGCCACAATGATTGCTCTGCCCCTCTCCCCCAAAGTGTGGGGCTCCTGTGTGCACATTCTCACAGCAACCCCACACTTCAGGGTAAGGGGAAAAGTGATTGCAGCTACCAATGCTTTCCAGAAGCTGGCTGATGTGTGAATGTGCACTTTGGAAAGGAGTAGGTGGCTCCAATCTCTGGAGAAGGAGAAGAGGTGGAGAAGCAGAATCACATCCAGTCATGCCACATGACTGCTTGAGAAGTGGAACTGCAGCAGAAGGGACCTATCGCATGAAGACAGTAATGGAATAGCAGTGAGATCGACAGTCTATTGAACAGGTTTTGCCCATCAATGAAAAGTAATGAATGGAATGCAAGGCAGTAACAGGATGGACATAGAATCATAGAGTTGGAAGAGACCACAAGGGCCATCCAGTCCAACGTCCTGCCATGCAGGAACTGAAAATCAAAGCCTTTGCTTAAAGACCTCCACCACACTCCAAGCTTCCCCATATAATGTTGTGTGATAAGTTCTGGCCAAAGTTGCTTTTATTCTGTTAAAAATCCACTTTTTTAGCCTCATGTGATAAAATCTTCAGTTATTGTGGTTCCAGCTGTTTGCACTGAAGCCTCCCTAGATAAGGCAGGCAACAAACAGTCTACAACTGCTGGAAGCAACATGGATCACCCATTCTGTGAAACATCCAGGGGTAGCTGTATTGGTCATATAGCAAATACAATAACATAAAAAATCCACCAAACAGTGATACCTTTATTGGGCCAACCAAAATACACAATATACATGTTGCAAGCTTTCAACGCTCCACTGGCTTCTTCAGCAGGCAAGCTGTTAAAAACAGGAGGGGGGGAAATGAAGATGTTAGTCATAGGCCTGCATTTTGCTGATTTTGTTCTCAGTTCAGAATTCAGGGGTAGGCAACCTTTCCCCTTTAAGGGCCGAGGGACTTC